ACTGTCTTCACTGAGAACAGTAAGCACACCAACCGTAACGGATGCTAGGGCCTCATCTCTTGTTGAATCCTACAAAAGAAACACAACATATATCAGCAAGTATCCCAGTGGATTTACTCTTCTTATTAGAATATTTTTGGGTGTTTTATTATTTCTTGGAGAATAGAGCTCTGAATATACATGCACGCTGCACTGTAGCCAATAAAATATATGTGGCACAAAAAACAAAAGCTATAGAAGCATAGTAGTAAGCAAATTTTTGACCAGTGACGCTGATTTTTCACTATTGATTCCTGCTCCTGCAATTTTATTAAATTAGTGTTTACATATCTATCAGACAAGTGGAGGAACTTGAGCCCAAAACACGTGTTACTGAACAGAAACCTACAGACTTTCCTGATCATTGTGCAGATATAGTTACATTGCTCTATTCTGAGTAATGAATATGATTTGTCAAAAATTAATTTGTACTTTTTTGTGTAGAAGTACTTACCAAGCATGTCTTGTAGAATTCACTGGAGTCATCGCCGACTACAACGGGAATGCCTTTGAGGACAATGGAGCGCAGTGAAGTCACATCTGATGTCTAATGATAGAGACACAAAAGATCAGCTAGGAGACAAATTTACAAAGCACAAGCTAAGTCAGACAAGGAGCAAAATAGGTTAGTCTGTATTAAGGTTCTAAAGTAGTGTTATAAATATACATGAAATAAACAATACCTTAACGATATGAAATTACTTACCACCAAGTTGATTTGCTGCATTAACTCTGTCAGTTTCTGTCCAACAGTTCCCTTTTTGGATCTGAAGAGTTTGATGAAACGTGGCGTGTGCTGGTCAAGAGCCTCAAAGAATTCTCCCTCAAGATTCTTACTGGCAATTCTATTAAACTCAGCAAATACCTGAAAAATAAAAGGGGGGTTGTCTGCTTACAAAATAGAAAGTTGAGATATGCTTCCAGCTTGCTAAAGGTATAACACCATTTTCAAACAAATGAGAATAGTACATGCCACTTTCTTACCAACAGAAAATACTGATTTGTATTATCTTGTGTAAAACAAACAAAACAATAAAGTTTATGTTCCTACAACTGATATTTCTGGCCTCATGGCTTTGATTATGGCTTACCTGTCTTTCCGTGAACAGTGCTGGCCATCTTTCAATCATGTTCTTCACCTCAGGCTCATTTTTAACTATCTCTTGTCTGCGTAGTGGGAATGTCTGGTCCATCATTTTGGAGATGAGGATGCCACTTGGTCTTCTTTTCTTCATTTCCTCAATGAGAGTCTGTCTGTCATTTTCAAGACTTGTTTCATTATGTCCTTCAGGTAAATTCGGCAGATAGTTTGCTTCGCCTCTTTTTGGCCGTTTAATGTTCTTGCTGGATGAGTCTCCCTCTGGGTTGCCTTTACTCCTTTTACCCCCATTGATTGAGACATCCTCACATCCAGCTTTTCGAAGCTTAGTTCGGTAGTTAGCCATCTTAAATTTAAGGCTGTTCTTCCAGCCGTACCATCCTGGCTGAGAACCAGGCTCAGTTAGGCCAGGGTGCTTGCTAATCAATGCTTTTGCAACACTGCTGAAGTTGTCGTCTTCAGGATAAGCCTTGTAAGAGTACATTGTCTCTGCAAGCTTTTCCAGTGTGTCATGCTTCATATCTCGTGTCAGAGGTGTTCGTGTGCCATCTTTCATAAAAGCAAGATCTCCTTGTCTGAGTCTGTATGCAACATCAACTGAGAAATTGGGTATATCAAAGAATTCTGGCCACCGTTTTCTCAACAAAGGTGATGTTGGGGCACTAGAGAGAATCTCAGTGTCTGCGGTGCTGCACTCAGTGTCTGAAGTTGTGGTTGGCGATGGCAGGGCTGTTACATGCAGAGTCATGAGAGGGATGATTTTCAGTGTAGCTTTATCAGGCAAATCTGTTATTTCAGTGAGATTACAAAGAGCATTTCTGAAGTCTTGATCTTCATACTGCAGTTTAAAGTCATACTGCAGCGACAGTTTATCCTTCAGTTGCGCTTTTAAATCTTCAATGGAATCCGGTCTCTCATTTAAAGTCACTTTTCTAATATCTTCTTCATCAATGACAACTCTCAGCAATAACTTTTGGTCCATTTTGATAACTTAACCTGAGAAAATAGGAGAAATCTGTTTTAGATTTTCACATTTCAGTGTTTGTCACTCAGCATACAATGTACCGTTTCAAAGTAACAAACTGTTTCCCTCTAACTCTGTAAAGTGACAAGGGGAAAATATCATTCAATTCAGACATCTGGGTTACCAAGAAGGTGGACAAATGGCTGCTGCAGAGCTCATATGCTCGAAGATGCTCATCAAACCATGAGGTCATGTGTCTGCAGACAAATATTATGTCGGTATTGATCACCACAATCTTTGCTATTTGTCTGAATTCTGGAAGCCCAGAGCACAATCCAACTGAAATGACCATATCAGCACTGTACTTAATGCCATCAATGCAGACAGAAGATGCTACAAGAACTGTGTTCTGCTGGGCATTCCTCTCATGAAGAAAGTGCTGCACATTTTCTGGAAAAGTGGCAACCATCACAGACTTGACTTTATTAATTTCAACAGATGGTCGGAAAAAGGACGTTGAAGCTAAATGGAAGGCTATCATTTTCTGGTGTCTTACAGCTAAAGTAAGGGCTATGTTCTTGAAATTGAGAGTGTGACGCACAACTTTTTTAAAAAACTTGTGTTTTCCCTCAAAACGCATTGTCCACACATTAGTTAACGGACCAAATGTTTGAATTAACTGAGGGTAGTGCTCAATGTAGTGATGCTTTGGCCGTAGTTTTTCGTTTGGGAAAACTTTCTGAAATAGAGTTCTATGTTCTGTGATCTTGCATTCAAGATAGTACACCATCTCCTCTGTAAAGCTTGTGGACACAGACAATTCCACTACATCTTTTAAGTTCATTAAAACCTCCCAAGTTTCATCCCCCTCAGGAATGTGATGACCAATCAGTAGTGGCAATAATCGGAGAAGTGCCCAATTTTCGTGACCATTCCCTCCGATTGTTCCTTTGGAGGAAAAGTTCTTTGTGATGAGCTGGGGTTGGTTGGTTCTGTCTGAAAATGTATATGGAAACTGTTTGATGGCCACATTCAGGGAATCAAGTGAGAAGTATCCCTTTGAGATAAGTGCCTTCAAGCATAAGGCCAGTTCAGCTGGAACCACGCCCTCCAGAAGATCATGTAACAGGTCTGGTGGGAAACCATCGACTACATGAAAGTGTTCCAAGCTCTCACTAAGTGGGCAACTTCTTTTTACACCATATTGTTGAGCCATAGTGGAATCCTGTAAGACATCTTGTACATGTTTGTCATGATCTTCTTTTGTTCTTGGCTGAAAAGAGCCTGTCTGCACTTGTTTGTGTTGTATTTCCTCACGCTTGGCCATACAGAATCTGCATATCTGACTAACGGTGAAGCTTTCAAAGAACCCTCCCAAAGAATGGGCAGCTAAATTGTCTGCTGCAACATATAATACAGTGCCTTTTATGCTGGCTCGACATATACGCCATGTTGCTCAAGAAAAACAAGGTCCTGAATGAGAGGGTGAAGAATTTCACCATAACCATACTCTCTGATGTTGCCGACTTTGCAAAGCAGAGCCAGCTGAATGGAATGAAGAGAGGATCGATATTTAGGGTGCAGATTGCCCAGTACCCAGAAGACACCACATAGCTTGTGCTTCTTTCTGGAGGTTCCCAAGGGATTAGCCACCTCAAAATCATCTATGTATAAGCAAAGAGCAATCCTGAACTCTTCTTCTGTTAAGAGAGTATTGTCTTTAAAGCGGGAACCATCCCTGTGAGATCTGTATCCCTGGGATTTTTTTTTCCTCAGGTGACATGGCCTTTTCCAAAATGTCTCTATTGTTTAGCAAAATCTGCAGCATTTTTAGAATGGGGATGTACACAACTGTCTGTTTGTCATTTTTCAGGAAAAACTCAACAGGCATTACCAAAGAGAATTCTCTTGAAATGTACGACATTCGCTTCCTAGCAGTTGACAATGATCCCCCGTTAGAAGTGAATTTCAGAAATACATTATTGTCAGTAACTACTTTGACTATTTCACTCACTAAAGAATCATCAACATCTCCACAATGCTGAATGAGAATTCTTTGAATTGAGGAGTGCAACAATGGCAGCGACAGCAGATAAATTTGGTTGATCTGCTCTATAACCTCTTGCAGGGCATTTTCCGAGATGTTAAGAATTGATGACATTTTCAGAAAAAGAGCAGCTACATTATGTTCCAGTCGTCTCTGCAAGTCGTCCACGTCTTCGCTCAACTCACTAACCTCAAACTCAACATCATCAACTTCAAGGACACTGTCCTCAGGCTGTACATTCAGATTAGGTGGAAGATCTTCAAGTGCACTGCCTGAAACTATTTCTGGTTTGAATGACATCTTACTTTGCATCTGATGCTCTTTGCTTCGATGTGCATTAAAGGTGGAATAAACATTGCTCTGGAAGTTGCAGCCTTGATATGGACAAGTAACCTTTTGCTTTAGCTTTAAATGTCTTCGCAAATGGGTGAAAAAGTCTGCTTCTGTGCAAGGCTCCACAAAGTCACACAGCTGACAGTGAAATTCACTTTCACTTACTTTTCCATGATCCTTTTGAGTGTGCCATGTTGATAAGTGTACCTTCAGAGCATTAAAAGATTTAAATGTGCAAAGACAATCCCCATGAAGACATGGGAGTGGTGATATTCGAGTGTGGCACCCATGTTTTAAGCGGTAATGCTTCAATAAGTACCCTCTCTTTTCAGTGCAAAATGTGCAATACTTACAGGTCCACTGCATTGGAAGTTATTGATGTGGTTGTTATGTCTGAAAATAAAGAAAATATAAGAGTATAAGTATCAATTACAATCAAACCATCACACTTTCCTGACTATAAAGTTGTGTTTTGGACTACCTTTAAACAGCACATCAGGTTTAAAAATATAAAGTAGGTTAAGACATCTGTTAATTTCAGAAAGAATATGACTTCACTGAAATGTGCAATGAATTATTTTTATGGAGTCACAATACAGGAATAAATACATTTTTTACTTTCCTAAATGGATTTAATTTTGTTGTCATTCAACTTATGCAAACTCATAAAATACATAGAAGTGCTTAAAGATAGTTTAATTTGTAGACATTATGTTATATCACCTTTTAGTGCTGGATGGAATAGATGGACTGGTCACCAAACCTTTGAGCCTGAAATGGGGACAGAAAAAAAAACTATTTATGGCAACTTAAAAAAAAAAAAAAAAAAAAGGTGCAATCACAAACATGACCAAACCTCACCACACCTCAAATGTACTGTCTAGTGCAAGTGAAAAGATATGTCAAAGACCTATAAACCACAAAGACATTTCCAATATTTACATTTATATATCCTTGACATAAGCAGCATAAACAATAATCTAGCAAGCTGAGTATGACACTAAATTTCTTAACTACGTTACCAGGTTATGTAAAATTGAGAATATTCAATTTACACTTTTGAAATATAAAATAACAGCTTTAGTTTCCAGATATTCAGATTTAGTTGATTTTGTCATTGAGTTTTGAGATGAAAAAAATCCATCAATTATTTTTAACTGTCCAAAAAAGAATTAAAAAGACATTTCATGTTACATAAAGCCTTCTACATTTTTTTTTTCGGTCCAATTAGTTGAGATAATAAGGGACTATGTTAAATGCATACCGAAGGACGAGGCCAAAGCGACACTTGAACATTTGAATTTACTGCTCGATAACGGTCTGGGTCGATATGCAGCAGCGGACTGAGCTGGGCGGCTGCAGACCCGCTGCTCCGGCAGACAATGTGGCCGAAATAAAAAGCAATACGTATCGCGACGCACACGGGCTGCATGCTGTGGGGTCGGGTGTGTTAGCTAGAGCACCCCAAAAACCTTTTTTACCGTCATGTTCCAAATTTGCACAGGATGTCGCCACGGTTGTATGGCTCAGTTAAGCTAACATTAGCCCGAATTAAAAAGTCCATGAACTACGCACTTATTAATAAAAGACAATCGCTCAGTTGCGAAAGAGTAACACATTTACTTACCAAATAAGCGTTCCAAGCACAAGAATCAAAATAATCCCGACAAATGTGACCACTGCCGTTGCATGAACGTCCTGCTGCACCTGGACTTGCCCGCCCATGATCCGGAAGTTAATGAAGCGCCAAGTGGATGAGGGTTTATTTGCGCATGTGTGAACTGATCAACTAAAAACAAACTTATTTTTTCTATGTTAACCCCACTTAGACATACTGAGTTGCTCAACTTTTTCAACTTCTAATTACAGGTTACTTGTGTAAAATGAGTGTTGATAACAGATTGATGAAAAGTGAGTTAGGTTCACTTAGTATTTTTTATTAAGTTCCATGTTATGTTTTACGGTGTAGACCGGAAGTCCTTTTTAAAGTCATTTGAGCACTGAAGCCACCAACAGCAGCTCGTGCAGCCCTGCAATGTGGGGCGTTCAGGGAACAAAGTAAATTGGAGAGTCAATCGATAAGAAAATGTTCAGCACGTCATATGTTTTACCTGTGACAAGGTGGGAAGTGCGACCAACTGAGAAAGTTTTTTTTTTTCCCCAGTGTGACCAACTGAGAAAGTTGGCCGCACCAGTAAAAAAGTTAGTCTGGAGTCCTGTGTAGACTTCCTTATAGCACAAGCGTCAAACGGCTACGTATGCAGTGACGTATGGTGGCTATCACTTGGCTCCCTGCCAATGAAAAAGAAAACAGGTTCTTAGGAGGTGCCAGATTTGAACCAACTGAGCCTGGAACTAGCACCATCAACGAACTAGCACCTGGTTCTTCTTGGTGGAAAAGGGG